TGCTGCCTTTATTAATTTTTACATGTTCGGGTCTTCTGGTTCCACTAGGGCCACTTTGGGTACAATACTTTTCGTTCTTATTGAGCTTCCTACTATTACGTAAGTGTTCTTATAAATTTTTTGTGCCCATTTTTTATTGGCCACTTTTTCGAATTCCTCATATGTATCGATGTTGTTTTCAAGGTGTTCTAGGTGGTTTGGCTCCGTTTGAGTGGGTGGCTCTGTTCGTCTGTTGGTGTCAGTTGTTTTTTGAACCGTCGGGCATTGATAGTCTCCTTTGGCTTTTGAACCCTACATTTATGTTCGTTTTCAATGTTTCCAAGTTTGACGCTTCCAGACATTCCGGTGTTTGTGGTCTTTTACTCTTCATTTCGTCTTCGTCCCACACATGGTCTATTACCGTTGTAGACAGTTTCCTTTTTTCATCCCTTCCTATCCGTTGGTTGCTTCCCCCAGAATTTATAGAGCAGCCCGAGCCCGGAAGCTCGGGGCGGGATTCCGCGCCATCGGCGCTACCTGCCTGGGGTAAAATATTTTTCTGTTTTCCTTCCGACATATTGGTGATTTTTATTTAGTTTTATTCGGGAACCCACCCTATACGAGTTGCTTTCTCCTCAGCTTTGAGCCTCGTCCGCCCATTTGGTTTTTTTCGAGTTTCCTCTTCTAGTTGGGTTGCTTTCTCTTTAGGTATGAGCCCCGTCTGCCCATGGAGTACCGCCAACGCTTGAGGATCCGTCGTCTCCGTGCTGCTTTTTGGCTCGACCCGGCTATTTCATTTCACCCGTACCACCCATATCTGGGAGGTGTTCCCCTATCTACTCTAGATGTACTTTTGCGGACACTCAACCTTTGCCCCAACACCCGCGGACACCCAATATCTTCCAAAGAACGTCTCTGTTAACCGAATTAAATGCTTTCAATAAATCTATAAAGGCCATGTATAGAGGACTATTTGGTTCCTTGGATTTTTCTTGCATTTGTCTTGCAGTGAAAATCATGTCAGCTTAGACTCAACCGAGGTACAGGTTGAGTCTAAAAAGCCACACTGTGTCTCTGGCAGGTTATCTCCGGCAATTGGGATTAAACGATTTGATAATATCCTGGCAAGCATCTTTCCCGCAACAGAAAGTAAAGATATTCCTCTCTCTGTAGTTACCACATTGAGCCTTGTCTCAAAGTATTATAGTATAGGCATAGTTCTGCTGTAAATTTTTTGATTCAAATAAAAATTATTTGCAATTCAACTCAATTCGATAATGCTTTATTGTCGAAATTTTACAAAAACCATTGAAAAGCGGGTTTCTCAAACTCTACACTTATTAGTTTAGTTTCCCACACAACATTAGCGAGATATTCTTTTATCATAGTTAACCGTGTTGGGGTTTTGCTAGTTCCTTATCGGGCGTCTCCTCAGGTGGCGGATGGGAGAACTCATAGATATGTGTGGTACCGGGGAAATCAAATACCCGGGGCGGACCAAAACTAGCACGCAGCGTCTCAGAATGAGCGGCTGCAAACGGCGTCTGTACCTATATTGGGCGGCCGAGATAACACTCGCCAATACGCTCGGCAACCGTGGCGTTTTAATTGCCACCAATCTTTCAAAAACCATGTAAGAGTCGAAATCCAAAACAAGATTACCCCAGATGGGTAGAGCTCAAGCCTCAGAATCCCATCCCAAGATAAAATCGGGCACCCTCGCGGACTCTGGGGGAGGCAAGAGATCGATAAAAAACAGCAAACCAAAGCAGACTATTTACATTGCTAATTATAATATTAGGACGATGAAAACAAGCGACCACTTAGAGGAACTAGAGGAAGAACTGAGACATATTTTGTTGGACATAGTAGGGCTATGTGAAACACGACTGCAAGGAGAAAAAATTACTCCTCTAAATTCTGGGCGCACAACCGGTTTCAAAACAACTCGGAAACCAACTATAGCCAGGGGGAGTGGCTTTTATCGTTAACAATCAATTCAAACACCTTATTACTAAATACCAAGCCATATCAAACAGGGCGATACATTTGGTAATAAGCCTAAACAAAAGATACACTATCCAACTGATACACTGTTACGTACCTACAAACACAGCGAGCAACGAACTAATAGAAGAACTATCCGAAGACATCACACGGGCCAGAAACCTCGAAAATACTCAATATGTAATCATTACAGGGGACTTTAACGCCAAGGTAGGAAAGAAGCAACCAGGTGATACATGCTACATAGGGAACGAGGAGATACGCTCGTAAACTTCTTGGAAAAACTCTACTGTATGAACACCTTCTTCCAAAAACAAACTCAAAGGAAGTGGACGTGGCGAAGCCCAGGCGGACTGGTGAAAAATAAAATAGGAACACTATCTGCAAAGTTGTCACAGTGCTAAACAGGCTTGACACAGGAAGCGACCATAGACTAGTGCGTGCCAAGATACAAATGAACACCAATATAGAAAGGAGAAGACTAGTCACCAGACATTCATTTCCTATAAGAGATGCCCTGCAACTCAATCAGGAAACCTATCAAAAAGAACTGAAGAAGACGCTAAGGCCACCGGCACTTGAGGATAAGGACATAGATGAATTCCTCAATAATATATCACATAGCATAACTACAGCCACAAAGAAAATGCAGTAGGATAACTCAGAGATCAGATACCAAATTAAAACCAGAGACGATATAACTAATACCAGAATATAATACCTTAAATAAGACAACGACAAAAGAAATAAGAAAAGCCTTAAGAGAAAACAAAACAAAACAAACAAAAACATGCCGGAAATATCACCATCAGAAATTAAATACGCACTCCAACGGATGAAAAACGGCAAGAGTCCGGGAGAAGATCGAATAACACCGGAAATGCTGAAGATGGCTGGAGAAATACTAACAGAAACAATAGGAATGCTGTAAAACAAATGTCTGATAGAGGGAAAAATCCCGGAACCATAGAAAAATGCCGAAGTCGTGATAATATACGAAAAAGGGACACACCTATATAAACTTTTCACTAGGATTATTAATAATCGAATGACTGCGAAGCTAGACTCCTACCAACCGGTAGAACAAGCAGGCTTTCGAAGGGGCTTTAGCATTACAAACCATCTGCAAACAATCGAAGCCAGCATCGAGAAAACAACGAAATATAACATACCACTACATCTGGCGTTTGTGGACTACCAGAAAGCCTTTGACAGCGTTGAAACCTGGTCTTTTCTAGCGGGAATGGAGGACGCAAGAATCGATTCGAGATACTCTACCCTTATCAAGAATATCTATGATAAGGCAAGCTTTCACATAAAAAGAGACGACGATCTTAAAACAGACAAAATATCACTTGGCAAATGAGTACGACAGGGGGACAACACCTCTACCAAGCTATTTACCCTTGCACTAGAGAATGGTTTTTGAGAAGCTGGAATGGGAAAACAAGGGCCTAAACCTCGATGGGGTATTACAAATATTACAAGTATTACAAATTTGGTGCCCGAGCAGGGACCGTTTAGATTTGAAGTAGGGAAATCTCTGACCGTATCCCCGACCTTGTGAAGTTCACTGATGTTTTTTTATCTTTTCATTGTGGTTTTCTTTTTTTTTTTTTTCATCTTTTGTATTTTTTTTTTAAATTAATACCCCGTTGCTGTTTGCCGAACTTTCAAGATGAGCGATAGCGAAGCTGCGATAATTACGACTACGACCGTAATCACCAATCAATCACCTCAGATTTGTAGATGATATAGTCGTGATGAACACCAACATTCAAGAACTGCAGCTGCTAAATGAGCTAAATGAACAATCCAAGAAAATAGGCCTAAAAATGAACCTAAACAAGACTATTGCAATAATTCGAAGAGCAGCTGAGCAAGAGAGTCGCACAGAGAGCCATGGCGAGAATAATGCTGGGAATCAGCTTAAGGGATAAAATACGAAATGAACAGATACGTGATAGAACCAAAGTGACGGATGTTGTGAAAAGGGTAGCAAGCCAGAAGTGGCAATGGATCGGACATGTGGCGAGACAGGACCCAGATAGATGGACCCAGAACCAAGGAGACTAAGAGGAACAACAAGAAATGTGGGAAGACCAAAAAAGAGATGGATAGGATAGACGAATAAGTAGAAGAAGAGTTAAAAATCAAATAATTCATTTTTTAAGTAAGTAAAGTGCCACTTCAAGAGATCAAAACATAACATGACATAAAATAGACTAAAATGTCAATATTACAAGTACATAAAAAAAAGTAGAAACAGCATTATAAAAAACTTAAAATATAATCAAAAATAATAACAGATAATGAAAAATAATAATTTCTTTATAATTTTAGGGTTTGGGAAAGAAGTCTCACTTATAAAGAATTCGTATCGTTGCAGTTTTAACGACCCAGAACTACTCTGAATAAGTTCTATGTATGAGAGACTTCATAGAAGATAACTAGTCTAGTTTTGAGTGGTTGAAAACTTGAAGTTTCAGTTCTGAAAAGATTTCCCGCTTTATTTTTTCAGCAGAAGCTTATCCTACCCACCCGGCTTTTAATGCGGATGGCGCTTTTTATTTCAATAACCCTTGACCACTCTAAGCTGAATAAGCTAGTCCGGCATTTTCCCATTAGATAAATGTTGTTGGTTTCAAAATTAGTTTTGAAGTTTCACCCAACCGCTGTCCCCCACCCTAACCCTAAAGCGGTTAATGCGGCGTTTTGCGGAAAATAGAATCTGTATTTTACGCGGGATATTGTTTCCACCAGATTTATTAAGCAATGAGAATGTGTTGCTATTATTATCTGTCAATCCCTAGTTTCGAAATGACTATTATATGTATTTCAATCTCCCAGTTCCCCCACATATTTTTACTTTTCTACTAGATATAGAATAATAATCCCGCATGCGTCAGTGGTATGGAAACTCAACAACGCTGACTATGAAAAGGCGCGAAAGCTCCGAAAACTTTAGTTCGAGCGTTTCACTTTTCCGGTTGAACGTTGCTCCGGGACATTACACCTTGAAATAGTGTCGTAATTTTCGTAAAAAGTATAGGAGTGATTTGTGTATGAAAAACGCGCCTTTTTAGCAAGGTATTTTGTGAGTCTAGCAAAAAAAGCAATCTCTCTGTTTTTTATTTTTTTTCAAATAATATATTTTGTACATCCTACTTAAGACACTTCTTACGAGAATAGGTTTGAATGTGGTATATTAGTGGAAATAAACCTTGGGTGAACCAATTATGGTCCAAAACTATTTTTTTTTTTAATTATGTTATTTATGCAAAATAAATAAACTTGCAATAGCATTTTTAAAACCAGTCTTTTGTAATTCGATAAAATTAAAATAAAAGTTTTTTCATTTATTAGAGAAGTCATATACCTAGGTTTCCCAGTCATGTAAGTGATTTTCATAAATAGTCTAATAATCAATTTTCTCTTTTTTGTTAGCGTTCTCTCTTGACAAAGGATCCAGATACCTTTATAATCAACACTGGGCTGGACTTTATCAGAGGATTTTTATTCGATCAATCGAAAATTTTAAAAATCCCCTTGACATCCACAACAAATATATCATAATTTAAATAATATATTTTCACGTACTATATCAAGCGCAGAACTTTCCATTTTAGTTAAATGTCGTTATCTCTCTTACCCGCTTTGAAATATTAACGCTTCCGCAACACCGCCCCCTTGATTGGAAAAAGAACTTATCTAACATCATTAGCAAAATATATGCAAAGGAACCCACATTAAAAAAATAATCATTCGACCCGATTTCCATTATTCCGATTGTTTTTATTTTCCAAACCTTTCCAATTGGCCATCAGCTATTTTGCGTTCTAATCAACGCTTCCGTTTTCACTCCACCAAAAAATGGGTCAGATAAAAAAGGCCGATATGTGTACCTTCTCTGCATTTCCATTTTTGGGAAATATAAGAATGATAAAGCATAGGCCGTTTTTGACCACCAAGAGATATGAGTCCTTGCCTCTCAAATATGTCACCGGAAATGTACCGCAAGAGGTCAATTAATCAATCAATCAAAATAGGCTTTATCGTCAGAAAATAATTGACAAAGCAAAAACTTGAAGCTAGATTATACTTAGGAATATAATAATATATTCATATTGAACACAATAAAATAAAATCAAATAGGCACAAGCAATACCCAATTTGAAAGCATCATCAGTGATGCCAGGTCTGGTGAAATTTCACCAGATCTGGTAATTTTATGAAAAATCTGGTGATTGGTGAAAAACTTTTTGAAAAATGGCAATTTCTGGTGATTTTAAAATTTCAGCAATTTTGAATATTTTTAACAATAGCATACACTTTATAAACATCCCTCGTAATGTATTAAAATTTTACTTCATCAACATACAAATTTCATTTGTTTGACAGAAAACCAAATACCCATAAGTGGTGTGTGAGGTCCTTTGATTTTTATATAAATTTTTATTTGTTCTTTTGATATGTTTCCCTTTTCATATTCCAATTTCTGTTTATTCCAGGCTCTTGTTGCTATTGGCCGGTCATTTTTCAAGTTGGCAACATGTATTTTGTTTGGCCATTGGCGTTGCTTATGGGAGGTTTCAGTCAAACCATTCGAAAACTCGAAATTTTTATTTTTCACATTTTCGAAATTTTGACTTTTCCAGTTGATTCAGCGGATTTAAATTAATCGAAAAAAATTCTAACATCACTTTCAAAATGGCGATTTCAAAAAGCTACAAAATCAGAATTTTCGTTCTGGGATTTTTTTTCAAATCTTGACAAGGTGACAATATCTTCAAATAAATTTGAACAAATTGAAACAAATTATATATGGTTGGAAAGAGCATTAAATTCTCTATAAATCCATGCTAAATTGGTTTTGATAAGTCGAATACTTTCTGGTTGACTTCACCAAAGAGTATTTCGTGATTCTCTTCACTGAGCGCGTGTTCCGCAACTGCCTATTTTTCCGATTGTCCTAGTCTGCAGTTCCTTTTGTGCTGGTTCATCCTGGTTCCCATGGATCTTTTTGTCGTTCCTATGTATACCTTACCACATGTGCAGGGTATACGATAGACTTCAGCGCTTGACAGTTGACAGTGGGTTCCTTTTATCCTTGGCTGATCTGATTGATTACTGTATTTTCCTTGTTGGCTTGAAGATTATTTTTATGTTGTTTTTCTTCAAGACTTTCCCTATCCTGCCTGTCACCCGAGAAATGGAAGGCATATGTTTATGCATTAGCCATCACTGGTTGTTCATCCAAGTTTTGGTCGTGTGGCAGTTTTGGGTCGCATGGCCTTGTCGATTTCAGATGCATTGTAACCATTTGATAGACAGGCCGACTTGAGGTGATCCATTTCATGCTCGAGATGTTGTGGCTCGCAGATGTGCCGAGCACGTTCTATTAACGTTTTTATAATTCCATGTTTTTGCCTTGGATGATGGTGTGAGAGTGCATGCAGGTACCTGTCTGTGTGTGTAGGTTTTCGGTACACTGTGTGGCTTAGTTTTCCTCCAGATTTCTTTATGAGCACATCTAAGAAGGCGATTTCTTGGGTCTTCTCCTTCTTTTCCATGGTAAATTGTATGCTTGCATGTTGCGCGTTCAGGTGGCCTAGGTACTGGTTAGGCTTCTCTTCCCCATGACTCTAAACCACAAAAGTATCATCTACGTATCGAAGCCAACCGTTGGTTTGTGGTCAAAAGATTCGGCAGCTTCCCTCTCGAAATCCTCCCAAAAAAAGTTGGCTATGACCGGGCTGAGCGAACTTCCCATAGCAACACCGTCCGTTCGCTCGTAGAAAATGCCGTTCCACAGGAAGTAACTACCAGTGAGTCATGTCCGGAAAAGCTCTACTATGTCATTGGGTAAAGTACTTGATATCAAGTCAAAAGATTCTGTCCATGGCACTTTTATGAATAGAGACACAACATCAAAGCTGGCCAGGATCCTTAGGTTGCAGAATAATATCCCTAATTTTCCGGACAAAGTGAGTGGAGTCCTTGACGTAAGAGCTAGTTTTTCCTACATGCGGTTGAAATAGCGATGCAAGATGTTTCGCTAGATTGTACGTTGGTGCTCCAGGTGCACTCACTATAGGTCTTAGCGGGACTTCAGGTTTGTGAATTTTGGAAACGCCGTAGAGTCGTGGTGGAACCGAACTCCACCGAAATCACAATTCAGACTGCCGAATTGTTCGATCCTAGTTATACTAGCAAAAATACCAGGGAACTTTTTCTGTTCCTCCAAGCATTTCAGCAGTTGCTATCGACAAGGCTTCGTTATTATTTTCTTGTTGGTGCCATTTCAATCGCGGGCTGTTTTTTTTATCTTCTCATTATGTTCCAATAAAACACGTTTTATTAACTTGGGTACACTTTACTAACTGAAAAGATAGGATTAAGTGAGAATTAATTACAAGATCGAATTATCGGCTACCACCGCCCACAAGTACTGAAGTACAGCTGACATCTATCAAAATAATCACCCCGAAAGGTGTTTTCATAAACACAACATTTTTCCTTTTTTAAGTTCTAACTACTAACTACACAAATAATAAACGAAATAAACTAATACATTTTCTACTGATACAAGTGATATACTTATATACGGGGTGTCCCAAAAAGATACCGACAAACTTTAAGGGGTAGTAGGGGACCCTAAACAAGCATTTTTGTTTATATAAACATATTTCCGCAAATGGGCCATTTGGGCTGTAGAGCAAAAAAACTGTTTAGTATCTAGTTTTATTCTTTGCAATAATTAAATCACTGTTTACTTATTAATTTTCCTTTAATAGCAAATAAATTATGGTTTACAATAATTGTTCTACTCGCGAACTCTTTGGAATATTCCAGGAATAGCTTCTACATGGGTACAACTCGCCAGTATCCTTGCTATCAGATCTTCCTCATTACGAACAGGCGTTTCGTAGACTAAACTTTTCAGTCAATGACCCGACGGTGTAATCTTTGCATTGAAGTAAATGGTCAACATTTTGAACAACTATTGTAAACCATAATTTATTTGATAATAAAGCAAAATTAATAAGTAAACAGTGATTTATAATTATTGCGAAGAATAAAAGTATCAAACAGTTTTTTTGCTCTACGGCCCAAATGGACATATGTTTATATAAACAAAAATGCTTGTTTTGATGTCCCCTAATACCCCTTAAAGTTTGTCGGTATCTTTTTGGGACACCCTGTATAATTATATAGCAATGTGAATAAGTATAAGTAAGTATAAGATATATATTTATAGATTTAATTTACGTGACGGTTTTCGAATGCGTTCACTTCGCCTGAAGCCAAATCCAGAGTTTTCTGAAATATTAGAATCAGGAGAGCCAGTAATTCTCTTGGTTGTACCCAAAGAAGTCGGCATGGCCATTGCTTCATCTTATTCATCATTATTTTCGGCCTCAGTACCAGATTTACTCTAATTAAAAGATCCACTTGAAACTGGATATGTCACTGCAGGCGAAGCCATCACCATTTCTGCGCCTACAGTGGCAGCCAGCGGCAGAACAGTGTCACATGGAATTCGTAACTGAGTATTCTGCTCAGGGAATGGTATTTTCCTCAGATTATTAACATGCTTGTACACTGTTTTGCCACTAACCTTTACCATGTATGTAACTGCACTAGTGTGCTCTACAATCTCACATTGTACCCATTTCTTCGTATAATACGGTCCCAGTTTCCCAACCAATACTTTCTCCCCCACGGCAAATATTGGTAGTTTAGTGAAAGTCTCATTTTTTAATGCTTGGTTTTCCGTCGTTTGCGATTTCAACAAATCTAAACGCGTCCTTGGTTTAATTTTGAAAATATATTCATTGGGAGACATGCCCGTACTGGCACATGGTGTATTTCTATAACTAAACAACAGGTTAACAAGTTGTTGTTCTAATGTTAAAGATTTCATTCTATTTTCTACAAGGTAACCTTCAAAATCTGACTTGATTTTTTGCATAATTTCATATTTATCTAACACATCTTTTGCTACTCGAACGTGGCGTTCAGCGGCCCCGTTTGATTGTGGATGACATGGTGGAACTTTTACAATCAATACACCATTTGCTTCGCCA